CTTGCTAAAGAAGCTGAGGGTTAAGGTGATGGACTGACCAATCATGTCTCCAGACCAAAACTCTGTGGGGCATCTTCAAACGGAAGGTGGAGAAGTGTAATGTCTCTAACATCCACCAGCTCCATGATGTATCATGGAGGAGTGGAAGAGGACTCCAGTGGCAACCTGTCAAGCTCTGCTGAACTCCATGCCCAAGAGGGTTAAGGCAGTGCTGGAAAATAATGGTGGCCACGCAAAATATTGACACTTTGGGTCCAATTTGGACATTTTTACTTAGGGGTGGACTCACTTTTGTTGCCAGCGGTTTGGACATTAATGGCTGTGTGTTGAGTTATTTTGAGGGGACAGCAAATTTACACTGTTATACAAGATGTACACTCACTACGTCACATTGTAGCAAAGTGTCATTTCTTCAGTGTTGTCATATGAAAAGATATTATAAAATATTTACAAAAATGTGAGAGGTGTACTCATTTCTGTGAGATACTGTGTGTGTGTGTGTGTGTGTGTATATATATATATATATCGGTGAGTCACCCTAAAACACCCCTTCTTTTCAGTGTTTTTGTCATTTCGATTTTTGGGGTTGTCACCCCCACCAATATAACTATCTATGCTGCATCTCACTGCTGTATAGACAGCTTCACTTTTCTTCCTTGGAACTTATTGGAACTGTCTACATTCCAGAAGCTAGTTACTGTTCTCTCAGGACCTCACCCTGTAATCTTGTGTACAGCAGACATTCCCCCAATTAGAAGTAGATGAGCAGACACCATTGTCACTTTCTTTACTTGAGTCTGTGGCAGAGTTGTCCCACAACAACATGTTTACTCTCGCCCTTCCCACCTCCTTTCATTAATGTTGTATAGTTTTTCTAGCCTGTAACAAGGCAGAGTGAGTCTGAAGAGTTTTTCATTAGCGCCTTGATTGAATGCTCTTCTGATTACAATGGAGCCGCCTCCAGCACAGTTAATTACTTTGCATTTCACAGTGTTGACTGGATAGAATGGACTGAGAAACAATATGAAATGTCAGTATGTAATTAGACTTGACAAAACAGAGTTCAGGCAATAGAAGGCCTCTCTCTAATGTGCAGCCAAATACTTTCCTTCTGTTTGGCTCCTTTCAATGTAGGGATCAAAGGGCGGCCTTTTCTAAAGCTAGTATGTTGCTAAGGATTCACCATTGACTTCTATGGGGACTGATAGAGAGGTCCTTCTCTAAAGCTGGCCATACATGGATCAAAATTCAGCCAGTGTAACAGGGATCAGCAAAATTCCCATTCATGTATGGGTAGGGAGCAGGGGCGTATTTACCACAAGGCACTTGCCTAGGGCGGCATTTTTCAGGGGGCAGCACTTCCCCACAAAAGAAAGCACGCATGCCATAGGAACCAGGTGGGATCCGAGAGAGGCTGCTTGATGGCGTATGATCAGCCTGACTGTCGTTCCCAGGGATGTCTGGAGCTATGAAGATTTGTGTATTTCTTTCTATCGCCGGGGGGGGTACTAGAAGACTCTCCCAGATGGTGGGCAGGGGTGTTGTTGGTCATTGTCAGGCTTTCTCCGTGGCTGGGGGATGGGGGGTGTTGGTCAGTGTCTGTGGGGGCAGACGATTTATGTGTTGCCTAGGGCAGCACAAAACCTACATACACCACTGGTAGGGAGGTCACATAAGTCAATCTGCTACATTGACTGGTGCCCTTCATGGTTGTAACTCTCCACTGCAGCCAAAGATCCATGGATCCACCTTGGGGTAATGTCAGCTGCCCCTGCGCTAGGGGTATTTCCTTACCCCAGACAGGAGGGTTGCTACATTTATCAACTTTATATTTACCAAAACTACATCATATCTAAACTATCAATCAAATCAAAATTAGATTACATAGGCCCTGCACTATATTTTATTAGTCGATCTAAAGGAGATTGTACAGTCATATTGTAACATGTATAGTGAGCTTTAGGCAACCCATAGATTAGTCTTTTTTTTTTTTTTTTGTTCAACCAGCGGATTAATTAAAGAAAAATGGCTTAATGTCCCCATTCACACATTCAAGGTGGTTGGGGGAATTCTCCTCGCTAAGCTATAGTATTCTGACAGTGGGGAGACTTTCCACTATCAGAATACACTGATCAGCACTGCTGAATATAGCAGTGATGATTTTCATTACCTGTTGTAAACTAGATGTGCACACTGTCTGTCCTGACAAAGGGTTAAAGATCTTAAGGCTTGGATGATACATTGTATGTTATTGTCCCTAAAGTTATTCTGAACAATTCTTTAAAATGTCATATTTAAGTGTACAACGTTTTTGTGCTGAAATGTTTCTATTATCCTTATGTGAGCTGTTAGAGCAAAACAGGCTGCCATGTGTAATCCACATTTGACACATCACTTGGCATATCTGTGTTCTCTAAGTGTGCGGTTAGGTGGGGGCTTTCTATACCTTGGGGTTGATTTACTAAAACTGACGAGTGCAAAGTCTGGTGCAGCTGTGCATGGTAGCCAATCATCTTCTAATTTCAGCTTGTTCAATTAAGCTTTGACAAACTTTGAAGTTGATTGGTTTCTATGCAGAGCTGCACCAGATTTTGCACGCTCCAGTTTTAGTAAATCGTCATTGTGTCTGACAGCTTTAGACTCTCATACCGATCATGTACAGTATATTAGCATTTAGCTAGTGGGAAGTCTACAGATACACACGTTGTCACAGAATAATGAGGCTTAGTATTTTTTTAGCATAGTTTGGAGCTTCTCGCTGAGCAATGCTGTGCCACCTGCAGACAAGTTGATGGATCCCACAAAAGGCCACCTATAAAACAGGAAGAATAAGTGTGATCTTTCTCGTGGAAAGAGCAGTGAAAGTTATATACTTAGTATCTTAAAATAAACCTGTGCTGAGAGAAATATATATGGCTGCCACTTTTTTGACCTCAGTACTTCCTAAATCCCTGACCCAAAACAAGAATGCAAATCATTATTCTGACTTTGGTCTGACTTTACTCTCTGCATGCTTGTTCCAGATAAGTCCCTCAGAAAGTACTGAATTTGGACCACCAGCATGTCTGCCAGGCAGCTACAGTGAAGGAGGGCAACAAGTAGGAGCTTTCTTATTTCTCTTGGCTATTAGACCAATCTGTGTGAGATCTTCCACCTTCATGGCATTGTTATTTTTCTCCAAATCATTCTTAGTGATAATCATCTCCAGAATTGTACCATTTTTTATTGTTATGTTATTCATTTACATACTTTTATGTGTAAATGAATATAAACCCTGATGTGTCAAATAAGAAAATGAAGTTCCATTGGTAACAAGCAATCACTGGCCCGGTTTAGGGTACATTCACACATTCGAATGGGCCAGATAACAATTACATGTGAGAACCCCAGTGAGGGTTCCTGGTGATTAGTTGCGGCAGCAAACACAAATGCTCCTGTGCTTGGGGATGGACTCGATGCAGGCTGCAACCACATTAAGAATGTCCTGGAACATGCACACCTTGCTGCCCTCAACAGACCGGGGGAATCCAAATATACTGAATGAGGAAAGAACAAAGAGAGGGCGCACAGGCCTAGTGCATTACCATAAAAAATGTTTAATAAGAAATAAAGTAGGTGATGTACTCACAAACAACAATAATGTCAAGGCACATCATAAAAGAACAGCTGGGTCAACACCGCGCTGAGTAACAGTCCATAATGGGGAATGTAGACATCCAATAGGCTGACGTGTTTCGAGGACTTGCCTCTTCCTCAGAGCCAGTGGCTCTGAGGAAGAGGCAAGTCCTCGAAACGTGTCAGCCTATTGGACTGTTACTCAGCGCGGTGTTGACCCAGCTGGTCTTTTATGATGTGCCTTGACATTATTGTCGTTTGTGAGTACAACACCTATTTTATTTCTTATTAAACATTTTTTATGGTAATGCACTAGGCCTGTACGCCCTCTCTTTGTTCTTTCCTCATTCAGATTAGTTGCGGCAGCCAGCCCCATGGAAAGTAATGAGAGGCTGCAGGGCTCCTGCAGCTAATTGTGGCCGCCTACATGTAATCGCTCATGCGGCGATTATCTGTGACTGATTGGCCCTGGATGCATGTCCTGTCCTGGCCAACATTAGCTGTGGGAGTAAGGAGACTTCCATTGCTTTCAATGGGGCTGCCTCCTGCTGCTGATCACTTTGAACACCTGCTGGGGTCCCGCATGTAATCAGTGTTGTTCCAGTTTGCAGGGTGTGAATGTGGCCTTAGGTGGGCTCCTTATGTCCGTGTGCCTGCAACCTGAAATACCTCTGCAGATCTTTCCAACTTACCTAAATGCAGAGAGTCACTTAGTCCCTCAGATTCTAAGATCAAATATTTTTTGCTCGATTTTAATAGTGAGTAGTCTTTTAGGATAAAGGTTCATGGACTTGGGCTGTATGTTATATTGGGCCAGTGCTGCTATAGATAGGATTTTGGTTATATTACATGATGTTGTTCTAATTGAATTGGGTGACCCCCGATAAGAAACACCATGGCCTTTTTGAGGTGTTTCAACCTGTTGATGTGCTTTTTGCTCATGCAAGAAAATGTTTAATATATACAGTATATGCCTTGTGCATGGGCTGTATATTTCTGCCCTGAAACAAACACTAGGTGACTTAGCAGTTGTTCAGTCAGGGCCCTCGTTATAAAAAGTCACATCAAAAGGGATGTGTTGAGGAAATCTCCAGTAACATCTCAAAATGTGTGTTCGCTAATAATACATTATGGTGCCTCTTTAAATACCATGTCAGAAAGCAGCATGGGCCCTCGCAAGAGTCTGGCCCTGCACTGCTGTTTGCTGATGCTCACCAGGCGATGGCCGAGGAAACACACAAGGCCTGTAGTCACCTCCACATCTGCAGCGCTCTCATTCTGTTTTTTCTCTCCCCTCAGGCTGGTGCCAGAGGTGAGTTGGACCAAGGCCCAAATTCCAAGCAGGATTCTGAGAGAAACTCTTCTGTGTTTCTTCCCCTTTTTAGACAAAGAGCACTTGAAGGAGATGGAGAGCCTGGAGCGCGAGCTGGCAGCACTGCGCACTACCAATGAGGATCAGAGGAGGCACATTGAAATCTTAGAGCAAGCTCTGAGTAATGCCCAGGCCAAAGTCATCAAACTGGAAGAAGAGGTAACCCCGGGACAAGCTCTGTTTTTTTATAGATTTCTGCTGGAGGAAGCTTGAGAAGGGCAGGCTAATAATTCACCAGCACATTGTCTGATATCAGGTTATATACTCCTTTGTAATCCATCAGCAGTTATATTATTTGTTATGTGACTATACTTAGAGCCCCTTAAGCCCAGTGTTACCATACAGTGTTTTATGCTATAACCTGCACTGCTGTTCAAAAATGAATCAATCTGCAACACAAGGTCACGCATGGCACTTGTTGGTTATACCGTGTCTTATCACAATGTATAGGTCAGAAGGGGATCTAAATAAAAATCCATTTGGGTTACAGCATTTTAATCAGTTGCATTGTTTTCCTAATGTGAGTTGCTGCATTACCTCCAGAGTTAGGCTATGTTTAGAAGTGCAGCTCATATTGCCACATCTCTAAAGAGTGATCCGTGGTGGATCACTTTCAGAGGCATTTGTCAGGTGATGGGGTGGTATTATGTCATCTCCAGACCGCCAGTTTTTACCCTGCAAATGCCACGCTATCCACTTGAATGGGTTGCATTCAGCAGCAGGGAAGGGGGGGGGGGTTGAGTGGTAATTTTTGCCAGGGCAGCTCAATCACCTGTTTTTACTACCTACCCCCAGCCACAAGTGAAGATTTTAACTAGGACAGGCAGCACCAGTACAAGGGACACTTCTTGGTAAACTTAGGGTTTAATATATGGACACTGTTACAATCAGACAAATAATAGGAAAAGCTATACAGGATGTGCTGAGGGCATGTAATTCATGTTGGGGGGGGGCATTGCTGATAATGTCTCCCTCATCAACTAGTCACAGCCAGCTTGGAGGTTTTCTTATACGAAATCACAGAACCCACACTGCTAAACCTCAAGTAAATATTGTGGACTAGGAAGGATTGTGTAAGCATAGAATGTATGTGTGTGTCTATTAGGGGTAATTTAGTGGTCCTCTGGTGTCACACATTGAATGCAGGTCATGTTACTAAATTCTTTTTCAACATCTGCTGCTCAGAATGTTTTTCATATTTTTTATGCCTTTTGGCATGCTAATATTAGCATACTAAGTGGGGAAAAATACATTTCTGTTTAGGTATTCCACCAGTTGTCTTATCTGTTGCGGATATTGAATTGAAATGTGATGTTAGCTTCAGACGCTCTCTTGTTTCCCTTCCAGCTACGTAAAAAGCAGGTGTACGTGGAGGAGGTGGAGAAGCTGCAGCAAGCTCTGACCCAGCTCCAGGCCGCGGGAGAGAAGAGAGAGCAGCTAGAGAGACGGCTACGGACCAGGCTGGAGAAGGAGCTGGAGTCTCTTAGAATGCAGCAGGTAATGGGCATCTATGCAGGGTGACAGGCAGGTGACATTCCTGCCATCATCAGATTGGGTACAAATATGAAGTAGTCAGTAAATCATACTGGCAAGCCTGCAAGATATTCTTCAGTTTATTGAAGAGAAGAGGCACTCTCTAGATTAGTTTTAAAACAAGTTGTACATGCCCTTGCCTAGGACAACACTAAGGGCCTCATTTACTCTCGCATGAGATGATGTGAACCTGGGCCCGATATTCAAAGTGTAAAGTGAGGTGAGCCTACAGTTGTATATTAACTTTTAATTATTCACATCCAATTATGTGATTTCATTTTGACAAAGACAGCTTCTTTTCCACACCACTAGATGTTTGAAGTTCAGGTCACCCCAGTTCAGAGTAAATGTCGACCCAGGGTAACTTCATCTCACTACATAACCTAATAAGTCAAGCCCAGGTCCACTTCACCTCGCTACGCAACTTACTAGGTCAGGTCCATGTTCACTTCACCTTACTACACAACTTACTAAAGCTCCATGTGTACCCCTGTCTACTCAACAGAAACCTAGATGTCCCCACAAGGCCCATTGTCACTTCAGCTGATCATTACAGTTACATGGAATAAAGAATCTGAATACATGAAATAAACAGCTGTTTTGTCTTAGATTTTCAGAAATTAGGCTAATCAGTTTAAATGTGACGGTCGGATTTGAACACTCTTTGATGTTAGAGAGAACTGATTGATCCACCACGATTCTTGATCATATAGAATGGGAGAGGCTGTGCTGTACATTATCTCTGTACTTATTAAACAGTTATGTTTGACTACCAAGTGATATACAGGACTGCTGTATATCATCAAACAAGGGTTTTATCAAAGATAAAAGATATGGTCATACTGTTGCTGTAATCTTTGCATAATTTGTTTACTGTAGAACTGTGGCCAGGCATTCAAATATTTAAATATCATCAGCCTCAAATAATTTAAGCAAGTCCTCTCTCACCTCTGTAGTCACAACCAATGTGGAGCAATTTATCCTTAAAATTCACAAGAGGCAGTGAGTTCAAGACAGGTTTTAACATTTTTCTCTTTTCTTGAATGGGATATACCTGTACTACAAGAGCAGCATTCCATTCAAGTCTAGGAGGTTTTAGTGTACAGACACAGGCACTAGATTTTTTACCAGCTGGGATATTGACAATGCAGAGGCAGAAAGTAAAGAGGAGATAAGAAACTTTACACTTGGCACAATGCAGTCAGGGAAGTACCATTCTCCTGGCAACCGCCAAACCACGACACATCCATCAGATTGCTATATAGAGAAGGGTGATTCATCAATCCAGAGAATATGTCTCCACTTCTCTAGAGTCCAGTGGCGGCGTGCTTTACACCACTGCATCCAATGCTTTGCATTGTACTTGGTGATGTAAGACTTGGATGCAGCTGCTCAGCCATGGAAACCCATTCCATGAAGCTCTCTATGCACTATTGTGCTAATTTGAAGGCCACATGAAATTTGGAGGTCTTTAGGTATTGAGTCTGCAGACAGTTGGTAACTTCTGTGCACTGTGCACTTCAGCATGCGCTGACCCCACTCTGTCATTTTATGTGGCCTACCACTTTGTGACTGAGTTGCTGTTCCCAGTTGCTTCCCCTTTGTTATAATACCACCAACAGTTGACTGTGGAATATTTAGTAGCAAGGAAATGTCATGGATGGACTTATAGCACAGGTGGCAACCTATCACGGGACCACGCTTGAATTCACCGAGCTCCTGAGAGCGACCCATTCTTTCACAAATGTTTGTAAAAGCAGTCTGCATGCCTAGGTGCTTGATTTTATACACCTGTGGCCATGAAGGTGCTTGGAACACCTGAATCCAATGATTTGGAGGGGTGTCCCTATACTTTTGGCAATATAGTGTAGCTGCTGTGTACCCCAAAGGAATCAGGATCTGGATGAGCCCTTTAGGTGTAGCTTCAATGTTCCATGTTCCTTTCCACATACAGGCTCTATAAAGTAGACAGATCATAAATTACGCTAGTTGGCAAACATGAACAGGGTCTCTAACACCATTGCTGGTTACGAGAGGGAGTAACAGGGAAGGTTCCCTCCCATGAATCAAATTTAATGAACCTGTAGAAACATTTTGTGAACCTTGTTGCCTTGTCATTTTTTGCTTTATAGCGACAAGCAAGCTGTCAAAATTCCAGCAATGGAGAGTACAGTGCCCCTGCCCTCATGGACTTGCTGAGGAAAAAGGAAGAGACGATCTTGGCTCTAGAAGCAGATACCACCAAATGGGAACAGAAGTACTTGGAAGAGAGCGCCATGAGGCATTTCACCATGGATGCCGCAACTACAGCTGTAGCTCAGCAGTAAGACTATGTTGTCTTATTTCATAATAGATAGTATTGGGATGGTAAAGAGTAACTCTAAATTTTTAGATTATCGCTAGTGGCTATAGCAGCCCCTAGCGATAATCGCAAGTAAATCAGGCAGGCTGATTGTAGTCATTGATCGATTGATGCTGAACTGGCCAAGATTCAAATCATCAATGGCCGGCCTTACAGATATCTATACAAGGGGTGTTAAAGTCAAACCGGGACTTTTTTAATTTTACAGGTATAAAATGGGAAGCTAGCTTGGCCATACTACACGCAGTAGTCTGTGACAAGTGTGTCCTATTACTGATAGATGGCGCACATGTTGCAGGGAAGTCCAGAGACTGTTAGTCAAGATGGCAGACAACAGTGCCAGTGTTGGAACGGCGTGTGGTGATGAAGCTTTATGAAGGCGTAAAACCCACGGACATCTACTTCGAGCACAGTACAGTGATGGCTCAGCCTCAGGAAGACATTTGAATGGTGTAAATCAGGGGTCCTCAAACTACGGCCTGCAGGCCGCATTCGGCCCGCCGAGGACACTTATCCGGCCCGCCGGGTGTTTTGAAATATTTGGCATCCCCCTGCGTACTTTCACAGTGGCATCCCCTGCATACTTTTACTTTTATTCTACTAGCACAGCTCTGACTGGCTTTGCCTCTCCCTCCCTCAGCTCCCTCACCTGCCCCTCGGCTCCACCCCCAGTGATAGTACTGTGTGCTGGGGATGTAGATCCGGCCAGCGCGGCGTGTAAATGATAGAGGGGTGGAGTCTGTGATCTCTGGAGGGGCTGCCTGCAGTTCTCCCGCGCTGGGCAGTGACAGACAGCTGAGGAGAAGGACACTGATCATACTGCATTGAATCAATGCAGTCTGATAAGTGTCCATTAATGCAGCCTCACCAATGCCCATCAATGCAGTCTGATCAGTGTCCATTAATGCAGCATCACCAGTGTCCATCAATGCCATTGATGGGTTTTGGTGAGGCTGCATTAATGGACACATCTGATCAGACTGCATTGATGGGCACTGCATTGGTGAGGCTGCATTAATGGACACCGATCATACTGCATTAATGGACACTGATTATACTGCATTGATGGGCATTGGTGAGGCTGCATTTATGGACACTGATCAGACTGCATTGATGGGCACTGATCAGACTGCATTGATGGGCACTGGTGAGGCTGCATTGATGGGCACTGATCAGACTGCATTGATGGGCACTGGTGAGGCTGCATTGATGGGCACTGGTGAGGCTGCATTGATGGGCACTGGTGAGGCTGCATTGATGGGCACTGGTCAGACTGCATTGATGGGCACTGGTGAGGCTGCATTGATGGGCACTGGTCAGACTGCATTGATGGGCACTGGTGAGGCTGCATCGTTGAGCACTGGTGAGGCTGCATTGATGGGCACTGGTGAGGCTGCATTGTTGGGCACTGGTGAGGCTGCATTGATGGGCACTGGTGAGGCTGCATTGTTGGGCACTGGTGAGGATTCATTGATGGGCACTGATCAGACTGCATTGATGGGCACTGGTGAGGCTGCATTGCTGGGCACTGATCATACTGCATTGATGGGCACTGGTGAGGCTGCATTGTTGGGCACTGGTGAGGCTGCATTGTTGGGCACTGGTGAGGCTGCATTGTTGGGCACTGGTGAGGCTGCATTGATGGGCACTGATCAGACTGCATTGATGGGCACTGGTGAGGCTGCATTGATGGGCACTGGTCAGACTGCATTGATGGGCACTGGTGAGGCTGCATTAATGGACACTGATCATACTGTATTGATGGGCATTGGTGAGGCTGCATTAATGGACACTGATCAGACTGCATTGATGGGCACTGGTGAGGCTGCATTGTTGGGCACTGGTGAGGCTGCATTGATGGGCACTGATCAGACTGCATTGATGGGCACTGGTGAGGCTGCATTGATGGGCACTGGTGAGGCTGCATTGATGGGCACTGGTGAGGCTGCATTGATGGGCACTGGTGAGGCTGCATTGATGGGCACTGATCAGACTGCATTGATGGGCACTGGTGAGGCTGCATTGATGGGCACTGGTGAGGCTGCATTGTTGGGCACTGGTGAGGCTGCATTGATGGGCACTGATCAGACTGCATTGATGGGCACTGGTGAGGCTGCATTGATGGGCACTGGTGAGGCTGCATTGTTGGGCACTGGTGAGGCTGCATTGATGGGCACTGATCAGACTGCATTGATGGGCACTGGTGAGGCTGCATTGATGGGCACTGGTCAGACTGCATTGATGGGCACTGGTGAGGCTGCAATAATGGACACTGATCATACTGTATTGATGGGCATTGGTGAGGCTGCATTAATGGTCACTGATCAGACTGCATTGATGGGCACTGGTGAGGCTGCATTGATGGGCACTGGTGAGGCTGCATTGATGATAGACACTGATCAGACTGCATTGATGCGCAGTGGAGTCTGTATGTCTCTGTGTGGGCAAAGTTATTGCTGGTATATTGTTTTTGTAGCGCTGTGTATATATATATATATATATATATATATATATTACTAATAGCAATTTTTTTTTTTTTTTTAAATATAGTCTGGCCCTCCAACGGTCTGAGGGACAGTAAACTGGCCCCCTGTTTAAAAAGTTTGAGGACCCCTGGTGTAAATGTTTCAAAGATGGCTGTACATCCATTGGTGATGATCCCAGCCATTGTGGTTCCCAGCCCACAGCAGTCATTCTTGTGAACATGCAGCGCATGAAATACCTATTCCTAGATAATCAACGCATAACCTGTTGTGAAAGTAATTTTCACTTATCCTAGTGAATGAGATAATGCAAAGTGAAAAATTTATTTTGCAAAGAATGCCCAGTCACATGCAAGGAAAAATGCTACAGGGCGGCACGGGTGCGCAAAATCAAGTACATACGTGATTTAGCATTTCCGGATAGGAGGTGCGCACCCTACCCGTGCCACCATTCGTGGCTGCAGCTGTCAATCATCGGGTCGGGGGTGGTGATTACTCACCGGCACCGGTGATTTTCGATGATCTCCGACGGAGAGGAGAACTGCTTTGTTTACTAACAGTACTCCTCCCTGTCAGCTCGGGCACACTGCTTTGGATGGCTGTGTACAGCACAGCCATCCAAAGCAGTGTGCTTACAGTGAAGCACACTGACACGGCCCCCTATGTAAAACACTCCCAGCACACACAGTTAACCCTTTGATCGACTCTGATGTTAGCCCCTTCCTGGCCAGTGTCATTAGTACAGTGTCAGTTAGTTCCCCCCAATGTCAGTATGCCAGTCTTACTATAAGTCGCTGATCGCCGCCATTACTAGTAAAAAGAAAAAAATGTAATTCCAGTATCTATACCGCCATTTGTAAATGCTAAAACGTTCGCATAAACCAATTAATTTACACGTATTGGGATTCTCAGGAGGGTAAGTGGGTAGTAAATCAATCCCACTGTTTCAATAAATACCTTAGCCAGGTTTTTATTTTAAGATAATAAATGAACAAACATGTAAAGAGGAAGCAGTTTACATAATTAAAAAGTCAATCATTTTTTAAAAACGTTTTAAAATTTATTTTTTACAGTCTATATATCACTTTAACATCTGCAAACCCCTGCCTGTCTCTGGGAAATTGCCTATCACTGCGTGAGGCAGAATGACAATTCAGCTGGCTGACGCTGGCTTGTTTGTAAACAAAGCCATTTGATCACTGTGATTGGCTTTCATATCCATCACTTGATTAGGGAACCATGCTGCCTGATGCTGGTTGTCTGTCTTGCCATAGAAAATGTATTAAATAATTTCTGTTTTGTTTTAAAATGTTCTGCAATACTCCAGATTTGATTGGGATTTTTTATGATCTACAATGTAAAACTATATTACTTTGGCTTATTTGATGGTTTGTTTCATCTATATCTTGATAGAGATTCATCTATTATGAGTCACTCAAGGAATGGAAGCCACAATGACAGCTCTCTGGAGGTTCGGATGTGGCATGAAGAAGAGGAGATTGTTCAGGCTAACAGAAAGTTTCAGGACATGGAGCACACGTAAGACCAGAAATAAAATCTAGTGATCCATCATTAAATGAAATTTGTCATGAGGGAAATATGGCAGCTAGTGGTGTTGATCTCATTCTGAAAATGCTAAATGTTGTTAGACAAGTATGTTTTCGCAAAGAATCAGCAAAGGCAGCTTCCATATTTCCCTCAATACAGGTTTCCTTTAGGGCTTGTGTGGATGAGCAAGCACTTTCAAACGTTTTTGATTTCCCTTCCAGCTGCATCTGACTTACACTTAACCTCCTTCTGACCTGCAGTTGGCCATCTGCCTGCAGAGCTGCTTTTGCATTTCAATTGACTTGTATGGGAAGCAAAGTTTTGGTGCATACAAAGAAACCATGTACACAACCCTGAAAGGATAAGTTCACCTTTTTACAAAAAATAATAAATGCATATTTTTTTTGCAGGTAAAAAAAATGTGCATTTATTAATTTTTTTTTGTTTTGTTTCTGGAGCCTCTAAAGCATTGCAGTAGTGATCAGCAGATTGCTGGTGCCATGCAGGTCTTCTGCAGACCTGTCAGTATATCTGCTTGCCTATAGGGGATGTACAGCAAATGGGTTACAAATACACTGTAATGTATGTAAAAAACACTTTACAACAAGGCGTGATGCAATTTAAAACACATGCCACCGCAAGGGCATTGCACTTATGTGTGAACAAGCTTCAATTTTTTAAAAATTTGTTGTCTGCTATGAAATGTTAGTGTTTCTCCAACTTTAACCCATAGACGTCACCCCCTTTGTTGTGTATTATCAGAAAAGAGAGTCTGTGATACTTCAGTGTGACTTATTGGTTCCATAAGGCATCATCTAGCTGGTGCTGTGAGCACTGCAATAGAGGCCCGTACATGTTTGATGGCTTTTTTTTTTATTTCTACAGTTCTACCACTTATATTAATGATTGTATCCCATGGCCATTGGTTAACTTTGGTGTTTTAAACCACTACCCTGATATCTGTGAATGTAACATAACACCATGGTTCACAGTGCAAAGTGCAGCTATTCAGGTGTTTTTTTAGTGTTGGGAGAAAAAACAAATCTTTTGGCTATTGACTTGTCTCCTATATCACCACCCTCTAGCCATGTTATGGTGACAGGTGAACAGCATTGAAGCATAGAAGGTTAAGGCAAGACTTATGTGTATAGTCTGAGGCCTTCACCCAAATGCAGAGATTACCTCTTTTGTCCATTACCTTCTTAGCAATCATGTCTATTGCTTTACTGTGTGTGTGCTTTTTTACTTGTGATCCAAGTTACAATGCAATAAGCAAATAAAATGCTTTGTTCCGACAGGATCAAAAATCTTCATGCAAAGATCATCGAGCAGGACGCCATGATAAAAGTTCTACATCAGCGTTCCCGAAAAGATCAAGGGAAGAATGACAGCTCCAGTCTGCGTCCTGCCCGCTCTGTGCCTTCCATTGTAGCTGTGGCAGCGGTCACCAGCGGCACCCATTCACGGCAAACATCTCTGTCCAGCAGTCAGGTTATAGAGAAGAAGGAGGACAAGACCCGCAAAGGCAGTATAGGTGGGACAGACTTTTTTATGAACACATTTGGTTTCATTTTCAGATCTTTATCTGGGTTTATCTAATGCTGACTATACACCTCATTTTTTCTTCTGACTGACACAAATAACACATCTTGTTAGTAAAAACTGATTAAAATGCAGCCATGGCAAACTGATGAAAATTCTTTCGTCTATGCAGCGTCCTGATTTGTAATCTGAAATCTGTCAAAGTAAATTGGAACAGTGATGACAAATGATCAATATTTGCTAGATTAATTTGAAATATCAAAACAATCAGATCATCAGATGGATCAGAATGACATATGTACTGTATAGCCAGAATAAAAATACCCATTGAGAAAAAAAAGATCCCTGCCCCACTAATAGAAGGATTGAGGAAAGATTGTAGACATGTATTTGAGCTAACCTGTGCAGGCACACCAGAGCTGACCTTTCTCATGGGGTGGCTTTTTCCATAGATAAGGCCAGTGCTGGGGATGTCACCACAGATTGGGCTCAGACATGCATAGTCAGCACAGTTAGTTGTACAGCCTACAGAGTGTACACCTTCCATTCTTATAACCATGTCTGTTGCCATTATTAAGTTGGATTGCCATTCATTTCTGTGATTAGCACATGCAGGCTGTTAAAGAGTTGAGACTACACACTGGGGAATGGTCTACTGATGGGATCCAAAATTTTTAAGTCTGCACACAGGCATTGCTCAGGTGGGGAGGAGAAACAGGACATTTTTGGCAAATAAAATCATTCAGAAATATAAGAAGCCATTGGGCAAATCATAAAACTTGTATCAGGCCATAATAAATGTCCATCTGTAGTAGCCTGATCTTTTTTATGGAGACAATAACTTGCAGCTTTAGAGCCATATAGTTCTTTTATCCCCTGTTTAACATTTGGCCCCAGATTCAGTACCTCACTCTTTTCAGCCTCCAGCAATAGGCAGTGCTTAGCTGTAAGAAACCACCTGACCCCACTCAGGACTTAATTTTTCTAAGTTTCTCTTTGCATTTTTCCAACTTGCTCTGTTTACAGGTCTGATTCAGGGAAAAGAAATCAAAGACAATCATGAAAGTCCCTCTCCTTCTTTAATGCTTCCGCTTCCGTCTTTCTTGCTGCCACCACCCTCTGCATCTCTACCAGTCACTGTGTCACATGCCAAAACTGGGAGCAAAGACAGCAGCACACAAACAGAAAAGAGTTCTGATCTCTTCTGGCCAACCAGTTCCTCCTTACCTGGCAGAGGACGGATGAATACCACCCCTTCCAGTAGTCCCCTTCTATGGCACACCACCAATAAAGAGAAGTCAGGTGAGGTCCATTCCTTTTTTATTTTTTCCCTATTATTATTTACTTATTGATTGATTTTTTTGTTTGTTTTTTGTTTTTCTTCTACTGTGATCACAGTCAATGTGTATGTAAACTCTTAACAATGGATATCACGTTTATTCCTTTTTTGTCTGGTAAATAAACCATTGTTTAGCTACATCTGTTCACAATGTCCAAACATTACCTGTCATTGCTGCCACAATTCAAGTGCTGTTCAGTGCACTTTGCAGCTTTATCTAAAGCAATCATAGCTCCCTGCTCAGGGCCACCTGTATGAACTACCCTTCCTTCCCCCTTTTCATGTTATGGAAATGGGGAGAGGAAGAAATATTCTGTAGACCTAACACACTTACTTCCTAGCGTGACAGTGGTGCTCCTCTATAGGCTACTTACAGCGTCTGAGTGTTGTCACCTTAGGACAGGAAGTCTGTTACTGGCAGGATCACCAGGTGAAAATAAAGAGCATGAAAAGAAAGAAAACAAATGCATCCAGCACATCTAAGGATGGGTATGGTGCAGCATATTATACTTTTGTTCTTGGGTTTAAAAACACTTTAAGCACAAGGGTAGGGGTACTTGTTATGTCAACATGTTGTTCTCAATACCTTTTTTAGTGCAGCTCAACATTTGCATTCATTTATCTTCTCATCTTATCTCAGTAAGATCTAGTTCTGTCAGTAACCTTTTACTGGAAAACAATACGGTGTCTAGGGCTGGCCATAGATGGATAGACTGGATTACTCCATGCAAATAGTCAAGATGAATGGAGGAATCCTTCCCGCTGAGACATTGAGGTTGATTTACTAAAGGCAAATAAACTGTGCACTTTGCAAAATGCATTTGCATTCAGCAAGTTAAGTTGATCCAGGGCTTAGTGAATGAGGTAAAGCTTCACTTTGCAAAGAATACCCAATCACGTTCAAGAAAAATAAAAAAAACAGCATTTTGCTTGCACATGATTGGATGATGGAAGTCAGCAGAGCTTGTACACATTTACTAAGCTCTGGAGCAACTGCACTTTGCAAAGTGCACAGTCTCTTTGCCTTTAGTAAATCACCCCTTTGTGTTTTGGCAGTGGGGACCCCCTGCTGCCAGAATAAACTGATCAGTTGCTGCAGCTGCTGATTAAGAAAAAATTTCCAACAACCCTGTTTAACAAAAGTCGAATGTTAGATTGACTTCTTTCGAGTGGGAGCAGCCACACATGCATCGAAATTCCGCTGGTTCCTGCTGAGCTGGCCACATTTCGATCCATCTATCGCCAGTTTAGGTTACTTTCCTGTAACTGATTTTCTTGCAGCAAATAGCCAGGATGCTGATTCAGTGTATGATATGCAAATATAGCCTGCTAAGGAAGCACCTTTTGGAAATCTGCTTATGTAGTATTATCATAAAATGGAAGGTTAAAATCAGGTCAGATATTGAATTCAGAGAAAATGAGTACTTATGTATAAACTGTAGATTAAATTAATTTTCTCATTTTATATTACATTTTATTTATCCCTGAATCGTCCCCACATTCTCTCCGGAGTTCACACTTGGGTACATTTTTAACCTGATAACACTTTCCATGATAGCATATTTTTATGTATTTCATCATATAGAGCAGGGCCCTCGATCCCCTCATGTTTTGCATTGTATTGGTATTGTTCTGTCACATGTTCTGTCCCCCTTTGTAATGTACAGCGCTGAGCGAACTATTGGCGCTTTATAAATACTGTATAATAATAATAATAATATGGTAACTACAGCTTTGATAGTATCCGTTTTGCTAAGGTTTACATTTAGTTGTGTTTACACATCAAAGTGAGCCTGAACTCAAAAAATGAATATTTACTATCTCATAGGGAAGAAATATAAATTTTGCAGTACCCTAAAAAAATCTACCTTCAATTCCTCCTTAAAAATAGAGATGTGCACTTCCTGCGCTTAGGTGTGCATGTTCTGCAGCTTCAAAGCTGTATATCTGCAGTGTGAGCTCATCTTAGGCATTGCTACCTCTGACTGCTAGTCTCACAAGATATAGGGTGAGATTTTGGGATATCTCTTCCAGGGCCAGGACAAGAGGTGGGCAGGAGGGACAGATGCCTTGGGCAAAGAGAATGAATGCAGGGCAGTACACCCATTCTACAACTTGCATCAGCAGTGGTGGAGGGGTGCAGTTCCACATCTTTGCCCTGGGTGCTGGTTTAACTTTTCCTGGTAATGGGCACCTCTGTGCTGCTCACTGTTCTTGATGGACGGAAAGTCGTGTCTGAAGACCTACAGTGTAAGGATCTCCTTGCGTCTGTTTTATTCAGTCTGTGGATTTATGTTTCACACACCTCCTGCTGCTTCTTGATTATTCCATCACCAGTCATTAAGGAAGGGGGGCAGCTGTGATACAAGGAAGAAAAGCCTTGCCTCTACCAAGATGGCTGCCTCCACACCCTGCAGACACAGTGCAGAACAAGGCATGATAATTCAGTAATGGGGGAAAGATCAGAAAGCTGGAGAGCATGTGCAGTTGTAGTCCTAATTTTGAGTGCTTACATGTGCTACTTTGGGGCTTCAGTGAGACCTCACAAGGATTAACCCTTTGAGGACCATAAGATTACGGAACGCCAAAAGAATCAATTTCTTGTTTTTAAAGTTCGTACACTTCAATTGCTGTACCTAAGCCATTTCATGAAATAATTGGCAAAAAGCTAGATCCGTTTGTTGCTAAGAACTAATATTTTGACTCAAACCAAAAAATAATCAGATGATACAGGCAATTAAAAACATGGGACAAATACATCCCTTGGCCCTCAAAGGGTTAAAGATAACTTCAAGTAGATCTTCTGCAGCATGGTTAGCCTGGGAAGAAAATGACTGAGCATTCTGTATGTCTAAGAAACTAAATGAGGCCAACAAAATATAAAGATTGTTTTTTAAGGGTTGAATAACACTTTAAGGATGACTAGTCTTCCGAGGTACTTGATCCTCGATATTGTCTCTCATTAATGCTATCTGCTTTCCTTACAGATCATTCCCCCATCCTTGGAAAGACTCTGGAAGCCAAAATCAGAGCAAGCAGCATGGCACACAAGGCAGACTTTTCAGAACCAGATAATGGCATGGAAGTGCTTATTTAGTAGACGGACAATCTTTCTACAGTGCCTCCTGGGCCACTTGGACTAGAGCACGCAAGGATAAAGATGATGCAGAATATTAATGGGCAGGAGTACCGAGAAGAGAAGGTATTTGACATCCCCAGCTTATCAGCTTGGAACAATCATTCAGGAAAGTGTGAGACCTGCTTTGGAAGTGTACAATGGAGATTCACTGTATGGTAGCCATTAAGCACAGGATGACATATGTCCCATTGTACATACTTGGGCTGCACGAGACCATCCTTCATTTGAGCAATCACAAGTCTCAGCATGACATGCAAGACAGACTGGATGGACAATCTGCATGGCTTTTTAGATTTCACTGCCTGAGAAAACATTTCAAATCTGCTGTAAATTACCAGGATCTTTCATGTCTTAAAATGTTAAGCAACAATGAAATGTCAGGCGTTAAGGAGTACCACCTTCCTTCTACTTCTTCGCCAGCCTGGTGACTTTACCTCCTATTCTGGACACTTCTGGGTCCCGCTGTGCTGCAGCGTCTTCCAGCTGCATGGTCAGACCCACCACCAGGCAGAGGCATCCACAAGGGCAGTGGTCCTCAACAGTTCTAGAGAGAGAAGCCAAATTAGAAGTTTTCATGTTTCTGACTTCACTACAAAAATTAGAAGATTTTGCCAAAATTTTGCGCTTCTACAGAATACATTGGAGTTAAGGGAGAAGTAAAGTTTGGACCTGTTTTTTTTGACAAAAAAAACACAGGAAAAAAAAAAATGAAAAAAATGAAAATAGCAGTACGAAATAATCAAAAAACAGATAAGCACAAATACAAAAAACAGTGGATGAAATAAATTAAACTATCATAAATAAACACTATAACAAAATCCACAACCCTAAATAAAGGAAAGAAAGAAGTCGATTATTTTATCTGTACAGCACACGGGTGATGGAACAATCTGTCACAGCAGGGAAGTGGAGGTTGTCATAGGTCAGTTTAGAACATTAATTATTGATACACATTTTTCTTAAGAACAAGATAATGATCACATATAGTTCAATTTTACATATCTCTGATTGAAGAGAGTAGCTTTTAACACAATTGCAATGATTCCTGGATAGCAGTATCAGGTCACTGAAGAGTAGCACATTGTCACTTTTTAAAAATATTTTTTTAGTTAGCAAATATATTATATTGCTGACATCTAAAAAATTATATTGTTTACCGTTGCTTTCTACATTTGATATTTCTGTTGTTCAGAAGCTGTGTTTTTTTTTTTTGGTTTTTTTTTTAAATCCTACAGACCTAAAGTGAGATTTTCTCTTGCTAACAAGGGCTGTAACTAAAGGAATGAGCCCAAAAGGCATTGTGCGCTATCACATGGGTAGATCTATATAATAAATACTCATGTTGATATAGATATAACGTGCAGATATAAAATGACCATGGCCATAAAATACAACATTTTAACTCTTTATTTTCCAATAATAACTTTTACAAGTTTTTCTCTTCTCAGACAGACGGTGGGAATCTTCTTTGACCAAGGGAAGTTGCCCATCTGTCAATCAGCAATTAGAGGGCTTTGTGAGGACACCTCTGAGATTGTCTAAGTTAAAGTGGAACTTCAATCTCTCAGTCGACATTGACTATTTTAACCCTTTGCTGCTAGCATTAGTAAATAGATAAGAAAATATATATTTTTACTTGTTTTAAACAATTTTTTTTACATTTCTTCAATTGCTTCCTGGTTTCTTGCCTAGGCAAATTATGTTATACATCCTAGGAGTCCTTTGGAGGGGCTTTCTCAGCTAAGCATGTCCTCCTGCTTGCACGCGTGAACTAAGGGCAGATGGATTCCAGGAAGTAAATGCTACATGAATTATCTGCCCTTAGTCAAGATGGCCACAGTCAGAAATGTTATATGGTGTTTTTCAAAGTGATTTCTCAGCAAAATAAAGCATGGAGACATGGATGGATGGGGTAGTTTGCTTTGAATATTAAAAATGAATTTAATAGATTTTTTCATGCTCAGATGCAGTGTAGTTCCACTTTTAGGCTGGTAGGAACCAGATGAATTTTGATCCATCAATGACCGTTTTCCATCGACAGAAGTTGATCTAACGATTGTCTTCTGTCAAACAGAACTATTGGAAACCTTTAATAGGATCAGCAGCTTCATCAGTGTATTCTGACAGCAGAGGAGTCCCCACTGTCAGAATACAATAGCACCGCAAGAGGATTCCTTCATCCACCTCTCTTGTATAGATGGAGGAATCTGTTTGTTTGTTTTTTTACCAGCCCCACTGACTCATCGCAAAAAAAAAATACATCAATGGACAGCTGTAGAGATTCACCGCTTTTTTACTGAGATTCTTAGGCCAAAGCCACTGTGAAAAAAAAACAAGGGGCACAGTGCCCTACGACATGGAACTTCTTTAACAAGTCTGATAGTCGGATCCCCTACCATTCAGCAGTTCTCTTTTTTTCTTTGTTAAAAGCAGAAAACCCTTTTCGGGAGTAATTCATTCAGCAAGTAAAATCAATCGGTGAATGGCTAATGCTCTTCAGGAAACATTGCTGCTTTGCACAATCTACCTTTTAAAGTTTTAAGATGGTCTTGTTACTAGATTCAGCAGATTTTTCATAGCTTATCTGGGTAAGACTATGGCATATGTGCAGCCTGCTTCTCTGAGATCTACCAAGGGCCACTGCTTGGAACCAGTAGACTGTAGCAGAAGATTTAGGGCCTTTCAGAAAGTCCTGATTGTGCCAACCATAGGGATCAGCGGTGGGCGTACCATTTGTGTAGACGGTACAGCTGCACAAGGGCCCTCTGGATCTGAGTACAACGAGATCATGATGATTGGTCACTGCATGTTAAATATTTATAGCTGGTTATAGTGACTTACTTATGTAGGCATTTAAAAAGATGAACATAAAGGAATCTATAGAGCTATAATAACTGTCATTATTACATAGGTTTAGTTATCTGCTACATATTCAAAAATCCTTCAGGGTCCCTTTAACATTTTGGTAACTTAAATAATTGTTTCATTACATTACATATACAGAGCAATCTCTCCTAGGCTATATCTCATAATTTGTTATGGTTTCGGATGCATGTTGGCGTACAGATTCACCATCAGCTGCTGAAATCTTAAGGCAATGGTCCCCATCCTTTCTGGCACCAGTGACTGGTTTCATGGAAGACAATTGTTCCATTGGAGGAGGGGTGGAGGTGGCGGTGTTATGGCCTGCCACCAGATGCAGCTTAATTTGGAACCAGTCCATGGCCCAGGGTTTGGGGACCTCTGCTTTGAGGCACTGCTGTGACAATATTTATGGACCACAGTTCCTAGCTCTGCCCACTGGCCTCAGTCAGCTTACTATTCTTGGGTTATGGAAAATGCAGCAGAAGAAGGGAGACTTCATGGCAGGGGATGAGTAAAAGAAGATTCAGTTGCTGGAGTCCCTGAGAAAAATAAAAAAACAGCGGATAATTCAGCCCATTGATGGCCATAGTTACCCTTTAAATGTTATCTGACACATGTAAATATATATCTCCAGTCCACTTGAAGTGCTGGAACTTGTATGTACCGCTGTCATTGCTGCAAAGTATACAGACAATAAGGAATGATGCTTGCTGCAGAGTTCTTCTTTAATGGTCACTGCATGTCGCACAATCCACACACTGGAAGACACTAATTTTGTTTTTATGAGGTCAAACTTTATTTCAAAGCTTCTTGGTGTTCATGCTTGTGAATTCCCAGGCCATGCATTCTCATAGAGTATCTTATGTATATGCAATATTTGTATGGCAGTGTGTCAGTGCGAATATTCCTTTTTTTTTTTGTCACTTGCAATAGTTTTGTAGCTGCGGGGTTATAAAGTAGAGCTTGCCGCCCTGGGCTGACCAGGAGCTCCTTCAATTTAAAGCTGATGTCATGTCAGTGGCTTTGCTTTGCTTATTACTTTGCACGCGCCCTCTGTCTTCCTTTGACGTCTTTGAAATCTATTTTTATATTGAAGGCTTTTTTTTTTTGTTAAAAAAATATAAAAACAAAAACGGAATAAATACTTTTATAACAAAATGTTGGTTGGCCTTTTAATAACGGTGGATCTAATTTAGCTCAACTGTGATCAAACTGAAAAGCGGGAACAGGGAGACTTGAATTCTCTAAGACTAATACCTTCTTAAATGCAAACCTCTGTAATGTTCATTGCCAGGAACCCAAAAAATGACCTGGTACTTGTAGGTAAGGAGGAGCATGTGACAGCACTGGGCCAGTCATCGCTGTCACATGGGAAGCCTGTAGCCCTGTGTGAGCTATGACTCCAGTGATCCGTAGGGTCGGATTTACTAAAGGCAAATAGACCGTGCACTTTGCAAGGGAATTTGCTCCAGAGCTTAGTAACAGGGATGAAGCTTCACTTTGCAAAGAATACCCAATCACAAGCAAGGAAAACAAAGAAAAAAAGAACATTTTTGCTTGCACATGATTGGATGATGGAAGTCAGCAGAGCTTCTCATCCCCACATTTACCAAGCTGTGGAGCAACTGCACTTGCAGAGTGCACAGTCTGTTTGTCTTTAGTATATCCACCCCACATATTCTTACACAAGGATTTCCTTAACTCTCAGTTGCAGAATAGACTGGTGGAGGTAGTAAAAGGAAGTTAAAGGGCAAGTTCACCTTTTCACAAAAAATTAACCACCCCCAAATATCCTTGCCACCCCTGCAGACCCTGTTGCACATAGTCGTTATGCCCTGTGCTGCCAGAGTAGCAATCCATACACTGCAATACACAGCCCAGGAAGGAATAGCCATCGTAATGCTTGCAATGATAAGCGCTCATTGGTCAGCGCCGCCGCGTGACTGTGCTGACCAGTGAGAAGCGTACCTGAGGCTTCTACTTTCAGCCCCATAAGAAAGAAGTGCTTCTTATTGGTCAGCACAGTTGAGTAGTCACGCTGTCCTAAAAGTGCTTACCTAGTTATCTTTGTGAGCATTATGATGAATACTCAT